AGCTCTTGGGCTTAGGTGATTCTCTTGCCTCAGCCTCCTGAGTAGCTGGGACTACAGGTGCCCGCCACAATGCCTGGCTGTTTTTTGTTGCAGTTTGGCTGGAGCCAGGTTTGAACCTGCCATCGTTGGTATGTGGGGCCGGTGCCCTACTCACTGAGCCGCAGCTGCCGCCCTCAACTTTCTTCTATACTGTATTCATAGTATATATATATTTTATCTTGTAAACACTTAAAGTTTTTGAGGCAACATATATCTAATCAGGGTTGCTCCAGTAAAGAATGGTTTAGATATTACATTAGGAAATTTTTCATCACTAAAGGAGTTCTTTTTCCTTCTCTAATGAGACAGTGTGGTAAGAGAGGGATGCGGTAGAACTGGCTAAGGCCAAATGATGTCACTGATGTACATGAAATGTTAATTTTTACATCAGGTTCCATGATTTTTAATGTCTTACTAGTTTCAGAAAGTGCTGCTTCTCTGTGGACATGAGGATTGGATAAGAGGCGTGGAATGGGCAGCTATTGGTCAGTATGAAATGTGGCTAAGCACATATGGTGGTGATAAGTATATATACCTTCCAAGAAAGCAGCCTTGTGTGTTTTAATTGTATGTTACATTTTTCTGTGATCCCAATTGGAAAAGAAGACACCAGTCCCTTCCGTTAAGTATTGAATGATAGAGAATGAAGCAAATTGAAATTTATAAGGTGCCCACATGCATTTTTAAAAAGTTCTTTGTAGCGATCATAGACATTATATTGCACCTCATGTTACAAACATTTATTAGTATTGTATGTGTATTTGTCAATGATGAACATAGGTCACATGAGTGAAGGGTATGGAAATGTACACATTGTAGAGGAGAAAAGGCTTCTACCTAAATTTAACAATGTAATGTTTTAAAAGTAGTACAATTTATTTTTTAATTAGGTGGAGATCTCTTTCTAGCAAGCTGTTCACAAGATTGCCTGATAAGAATATGGAAGCTGTATGTAAAATCGACATCTATGGAAACTCAGGGTGATGATAATATAAGACTTAAGGAAAATACTTTTACTATAGAAAATGAAAGTGAGTGATAATGAAAATATTCGATGTAACAATACTTATGTCTCTAACTGGTTCATTTGTCTATTTTACTACAGAGTTATGTGAAGGTTAGTTCTTCAGAAAGTGTCAGTTTTAGATCTTTTCTGAAACTGATCTTCTGCATTTTTCTGCTTTTATTTTTAGTGAGGATGAGCCTTTTCTTTGGCCAGGGCTGGGTTTGAAGCCACCACCTCCAGCATATGGGGCTGATGGCCTACCCCTTTGAGCCACAGGTGCCGCCCAAGGATGAATCTTTTTTAATAAATAAAACATTTTTCTTTTAAACCATATTAGTAAGATTTTTCTAAATTGGTGAAAATGTTTAATGCTTTTCAATAAATTTGTAACATGTTACCAAACTTGCAGTTTTAGCATAGGAAGCCATCAAGGAATTGTGTGAATTATTTTTACTTTTTCTGGCGTGTGTTCATAAGAGATAAGGTCCCTACATTTGAGTAGTATATGTAATTCTGTTTTCTTACTGTCTGGCATTAGAATAGTACTTGAAGGAGATATTTTTGGATGTGTATCTAAATTATGAAGTTAGTTTTCGGCATTGTGCACCTAGATAGTCTATTCTTTGTTATTATTCTTCCTAGTTATAAAGCCTGTTAAAGATTTTGGTAGCATGGTTTTATGGGGAGAACCAAGAAATAATATAACAAGCATATTATTAGTAGCTATACACAAATATGAAAATTTTCAGGATATTTTTATTAATTGTTCAGTTAGAAAGGTCAAAATGCTGATTTCCTTTATTTTTGCATTTATCTTAAGTTTTTTTAGGATGACATTTTATTACATTCTGATAATGAGCTAAGGTAACAAACAGGCTGTCATGTTTTGCTTTTTCCTTGCAGTGTAATAATAGCTGTCCCAGAAATCTTCAAAAATAGACATATTCCTTAGTATTTATTTATGACCCAGTAGAGAAAGATAGAGAGAAAATTTGTATTTAGATCGTTTTCTTATGGAATTTTGGACAGTGGATACGATTAATGACATATAGTATGTATGTTCTTTTCATTAAGTCTCAACTATCATGTTTTATTCTAATTTTTTTTTTTTTTTACATAATTGGGTAGCATAGATGACTTGGTTATGAAATGCTCTTTTTAGAAGAGCTTTGAGGAAGTGATACCTTCATTACCTTTGTTACAGGTATTACAATTGCATTTGCTGTTACACTGGAGACTGTGCTGGCTGGTCATGAGAATTGGGTAAATGCAGTTCATTGGCAACCTTCATTTTACAAAGGTAGGAAAAAAAACATAGGCTGTATCCCTTATTTTAATTTCTGGGCTCAAGTGATCCTCCCACCTCACCCTCCTGAGTAGCTAGGATTACAGGTACACACCACCATGCCTGCCTCAGATATTTTCAAATTGGCAAAGTTTAAGAATACATAATTGGCCTGCTAGACTGTTAGTTCTGTTATAAATTGAACTGCTGAGTGGGAAAAGTATGATTTCTGCCACCATGCTGAAACTCCTACATCCCCATTACCTTTTTCTCTTAAAAGTTTACTACCTGGTTATTAGGGGATTTAAGAAAAATTGACTTTAAGCCAACTTCACAGGATTCTTTAGCCATGGCAATACAAAGTTGGTAATACTGAATTATATTATTTATAAAAAAGTAAGACCCTCTTTGTCCTTCTTTTCTTGACTTTTCCTCCATTTGTGGAGCCGTGGTTCTGTGCAGACTCAAGCTAGATGTAGAGCTAAGCAAGGTGTAGCTTCACATTCTTCCCTCTCGCCTCTTTTCTAAGGCAAGAATAGCAGTAATTAATGCTCAAGTAATCACTATTCTGTTTCTACTTACATTATGCTATATTTGCTACAGTTTTAAAAAAAGAAAATTTGGATATTAGAGATATTGAGGACCTCTGTGTATTCTTTCCTGAACCTTCCCCTCTATCCTTCCCTAGAGACAATTACAGTGCTGAATCCAGTCCTTCTTATTTTCATGCATAGTTTTATACTTATGCTACACATATACATAGTGACTGACTATATTTTTTAAGACCTATTAAAACTTGGTATCAGTATGTACCCTTTTACAACTTGCCATTTTAGCTTAACATGTTTTGGAAACGTATCCATGTTGATTTATGTAGCTTTAGTTATTTGCTTTTATTGCACTGTAATATTGCATTGTCTGAATATACCACTTGTTTAATTGTTCTAATGGTGGACATTTGTGGTGTTTGCAAATTTTTGCTATTATAAACAGAACTACAGTGAATATTCTTATAGTACCCATGTTGGCTTTTTCTGTTATTCTACCAACATGATCACCTAAAGGAATTGGTTTTTATTTTTTAGATGGTATTCTACAGCAGCCAATGAGATTATTGTCTGCTTCAATGGATAAAACCATGATTCTTTGGGCTCCAGATGAAGAGTCAGGGGTCTGGCTAGAACAGGTAAAAATGTAGATGTTTAAGGAACATAAAATTGGGTTTTATGAACTGCACCTTCATAAAGAGCTGCAAATTTTCACCCTTTGTATATGTTAAATGAGTAGGAATTTAACAATCTCTGGAGTAAGTAGCTTCCATTGTGAAAAATGTGGACTATTAATTGAGAATTGTTTTCTTATTATTGTATAGGTTCGAGTAGGTGAAGTAGGTGGGAATACGCTGGGATTTTATGACTGCCAGTTCAATGAAGATGGCTCCATGATTGTTGCTCATGCTTTCCATGGAGCATTGCACCTATGGAAACAGAATGCAGTTAATCCAGTAAGCAAAGCACTTTTCAGTAAAGCATTTCTAATCAAATAGTGTGCATCCTCAATGAAACCTAGCTAAAGAGTATTTTACTT